CAGGAAAATCTGAGGAATCAGAAGAAAAATGTTTGACTAAGAAAAAGGGACTCTACAGCTAAAATCCACCAGTGTTAATGAGCCAAGTTGTTCTGCTCAGTATCAGTAAAACATACAGTGAAATCAGGTACACCATAGTCTGTTTAGGAATTATACTGTCATGCCAATTTTGGAAGTGGAACCCAGAACTTTTCAAACAGCATGAGGTGTTTTGAAGGAATCTAAAATCAAAGATTATTTTCCTATAGCTTACAAAAAAATTAGGGCACAGGTCTGGAGCAGGTATTATCTAAAAATTAAGGGGAGGCACATTACCTTCTCTCTACTAACAATTTTTACAAAGATTCGGAAATTGTACACACGTGTATGCACACACATAATTTCCTTTCATCCAAGAATTGCAGATAGTTTTGTTAACTAAGCTTCAAAACATCGCTTTGAGATAGTATGAGACAAGTAGTGTCATTCTTTTTCTTCACATGGGTTAACAAGCTGAGAAATGGTTAACTTAGATGCAACATCAGATTTTAGTTGCCTGACTGCAGACACCCCTCTGCCAAGTTACACTGACTTCAAATCAAGTTGAAGGTACGTATCCTAGAACTAAAATGCTCAGACTTCCCTGCATATCTTTAGCACCCAAATCCATATAAAGCCAAATCTTCATCCCATAATCAGTAAATCCCATTCAACTAAAAAAAGGCAAAGCTGGCCAATTCTTCTTAGTTCATCTCATAAATAAGATCACCAGCCAACACAGCACAGCAACTAATAAATAATGAGAACAGTGTATTACATTAACAACAATGAATGACAAAGACAAGGTTGTCATCGACGACGACGACAACAACAACAGTAATAGTAGCACTCCAATAGTAATATGAGGAAAAAAGCAAACACACACTGACATACCTAGGCATTAATCTTTCAAGGAAATATTGAACAGATCAACTTTTCTTTTCTCTCTGCTCAGCAGGCTTTTATATATAACATGAATAACTGTTCCCATAAGAAACAGCCCCTTCCCCTATCATATTTTATGAGGTTTGTAACATTTTACATACACCTCTGGTGCCACACTAGTTTCCATAGTAACAGACTATGATGCTTTATTTAAAAAAAAAAAAAAAAATCAACCAACAACAACAAACATACAGAGAAATTGAGCATACTGCAGTATTCTATAGAAAGGATCCAGAATCATTCCCATAATGCTACAGAAAACTGAAGTGACTGGGACTGCATGTGGAGGATGCTGCAAAATCCCACACACAAAATTGGAAAGCCAAAGTAATGTGCTGGAATCATAGATGAGGCTGGATGGACTGTGTGTTCAGGGAAAAAAGATGGATTATGACTTCGAGATCTAGAAGTCTCCCAGCTTTAACATATTGCAAACTTTTACTATGGCTATAGGGGGAAAAAAGAGTCTTCCAACACCTTTCTAACATTAATTGTTCATTTATTAGAAAACAAATCAAGCCAGCCAGGAAGAAAAATAAAGTTGAACTGTACTGCTAACAGTTCCCCAGAGGGAGTGGGAAGTGATTATTGAGTTAAATGGCTACATTGTTAAAATTGCCACAAAGAGTAGCAGACCCTGTAAGATTCACTTTTCACTGCCAATTTACTGCTGACAAAATCTGCTAGGAAATGAATTAACTTCATTAGCCTCTCCTCATCCCATCCCTCCCCACAACACCGTATTCAGATATATATCAGTAGTTGTTTTGCTTTTATGACCCAGCATCAACATTTGGAAATATTTATGTAACATATGCCCTGTCCTTTTCCTTGTTGCACTATATCAGTGCCCTCAAGCATTTGGACATTGCTGATAATCAAGAATGCTAATGGAAGAGGCTGTAGTGTTTAACTAATCTACCTAGCTTGTTCAGGTGAACAATCCCCATACAGCTCACTGTCCCAGTTTTTCCCTGAATGTTATTTCAAGGATGTAAATAAGTTTAATCTCTATGATTTCTACTGGCAATAAAACCACACTGAGGAGCACAAGAGTCACAAGTCCTACATGTTCAACTAGTCAGACAATATGTAATACGCACACATTTTAATGAGAAATATTTCCCCATAAGGGAAGTCACTGAAATAAGAATCAGTGGCTGATAGATTCATTCTGAATTTTATTGCTATGTGTTCAGGGAAAAATTGATGAGACTGGATGTGGAACTTGTGGCTAATAGAGAGTTTAAAATCTCAAGAATTGATCATATTTTTTTTTTAAATGTTAGAAATAGCCTGCAACTAAAACAAAGTAATAAAAGGTGAGAAATAAAGAAAAAAAATATTACAAACAGCACAACACAATAATTATATAAACAAGAGACAACAAAAAAGGGGTTAACAAGATAACCCACTATGAAGCAGAGTCCCAGGAGAAAACCATTATCTATTTGTTATATTTCCAAGAGTATTTCTCATAAGTTTTATGGACAGGATGAGAAAGGAACTGGGCAAAACGGGGGGGACTGCTCAGGA